AGGCCCCTCGAGCATGGAACGCCAAGCTTGATGCCACGCTGGGCGAGCTTGGGTTTCAACGGTGCGCAACCGAGCACGCGCTCTACACGCGGCGACGGGGGAAGGAGGAGCGCGTCGTCGGCGTGTATGTGGATGACTTAATCGTCACCGGCGCGCGCACGGAGGACATCAACAGCTTCAAGCGCGAGATGGCGGCTCATTTTCGAATGAGCGATCTCGGCGCACTCTCCTACTACCTCAGCATCGAGGTGAGACAGGGGAAGGAGGAACTCATGCTCGGTCAGAGCGCGTATGCCTCCAAGCTGTTGGAGAGGAGCGGCATGGCTGAGTGCAAGCCATGCGTGACTCCGATGGAGGAGCGGCTGAAGCTGACGAAGGCCAGTACCGCGGCGAAGGTGGATGCAACACTCTACCAGAGCATCGTCGGCGGTCTGCGCTACCTAGTCCACACGAGGCCGGACATTGCATTCGTCGTGGGTTATGTTAGTCGCTTCATGGAGGATCCCAGAGAGGATCACTGGGCTGCGGTGAAGCGGCTACTGCGCTACGTCAAGGGGACGGTAGATCACGGGATCATCTTCCCAGAAATCGGTGAGAGTAGGTTGCAGCTCACTGTGTTCAGTGATGCAGACATGGTGGGGGACATCGACGGACGACGGAGCACCTCTGGGGTACTCGTATTCCTCGGGTCGGCCCCAATTTCATGGTTGTCGCTGAAGCAGAAGGTGGTGGCGCTATCTACGTGCGAGGCAGAGTACGTAGCGGCGGCCACAACGGCATGCCAAGTTGTGTGGCTACGCCGGCTGCTGGGTGAGCTGACCGGTGTGGAAGCTCACCCACCAGCACTGATGGCGGACAACTAGCCCGCCATCGCCCTCGCGAAGAATCCGGTTCTGCATGACCGGAGCAAACACATCGACGTGAAGTTGCACTTCCTCAGGGACTGTGTCGATGGAGGGCAGATCGTCATCGAGTTCGTCGAAATTGGTCGGCAACTCGCGGACGTCCTCACCAAACCGCTCGGACGACTTCGACTCACGGAGCTGAAGGAGATGATCGACATGGAGGGGTACAAGGGATAACAGTAGGATTAGGGGAAGATTGTTAGCTAATCTACTGCTACCTTGTGTGAACATGGCAAGGGGAAAGCGGCGCCGAAAAGGCCCCCTGCTGTGATACTGTAGCCGCTGCAGGTGCAGGCGCCGATCTGCTCACCTGCAGCACTGTAGTCACATGCAGTGGCCGGCGCAGAGTCAGCCCTGTATGTTATCTAGTTACTGTTATAGCATGGGCAGCTGTACTGGGATTAGATGGATAGAGTTGTATAAATAGACTACCACGGCAACTCAGAAAATAGAGCTAAGATTTGCCATCTCACAGACAGGGCTTCGGCCAATGCTGGTGTCTTGTATTGTGCGTGCATGCTCTATTCTCCCTTCTTCTTCTAGATCGAGCCATAGTGTGTGGGGACGGACAACGCTTGTTCGTGATCGGCACGGTTAGTGGGTGCTCGGCAACACTAGCGGGTGCTCGGTAAAACCGGAGAGTGGTTCACTCACCTGAGCCGGTGATCCTGTGGGCCAACAATGCATAATTCGCATGGCAAAATGTTAGTGTTGGACATGCAGCATGTATGAATTACCTGCGACCTCAATTTCATCAGGCATGGAAAAGCTTAATTGCCTGGAATCTAGTGTTTGTACCTGACCAATCTGAATATGGAACTAATACGCCCATGGCCAATAATAGAACATGTGTTATACATTAAGGATGACCTGATATCATTTAAATAATTAGTATTGTTCCCGGTAACCCTGATGCTTTATCATTTGGCCTTGTGACACCATAAAATTTAGCTTAAGGCGCCTATATGATTTATGGTGGTTTTCGGCTGTAGGAGAGTCACAGAGCTGAGCTGACACTGATGGTGGAGAGGGGCAAGCGTGCAGACATCGAAGCTCTCTACTCCCATGGGTTCGATTACTTGGGGAAGTACATCGCGAGAAAGATTGTACAGGGCGATTACATCTGACGCTGCCGTGGGTGCTGTCTGTTTCTCTTCTTGTATTGACCGCTGGAATGTTAGCATGGTTGCATACTTGCATGTGCCAATGAGCTGCATGGACTATATAGTAAGCTATGTCCAATGCCTGTAGATTGAAACAATGATTGATACTGGAATGTACAATTGTACATAAATACAAAAGATTTGCTTCTTGTTACTCTAGTCAAATATCGATCTTGACTACGGTTGGGGTCTGCCACCTTGCATGACCAGACCACCAAATAAACAAGCTCATTCTGGTGAAACCGTGGAATCCGAATGAAGAGGCCGCGATGTTCACTCATTGGCCACTGAATCACACGGGTTTTGAGTTCTGATCTGCAGTGCTGGGGCATGGTGCGGCCGATGCAGGGGGATGCAAATACACCTGTGGATGGCAGCATGCAGCAGCAGCGATCCATTCATCGTTCTCCAGAAAGGTGCCGGTCCCAGGAAAGGAGTGGGCAGAATGGACCATGGTCCGTGGGGCCACCCTCGCGGCGCCACGTTTGGTGCCACGTCGGCGCTTCCCGCATGCACACATGCACATGTGTCGGAGCACCTGAGGTCGCCGACTCCGCCGCCCGCCACCAATGACGCGGACGACCCAGCAGCATTTCCGAGCATTCTGACATCCAAATCCAAGTTTTCATCCGGCCTCTGCTGCTGACATTTCTTATCCTGCCTCGCTCACTCGAGAATGAGCTAGCGTATCATCGATCGTGCCTGCTGTTACGTTACATACATACATATATATACTTGTCCGAGCACTGAGCATACTCACTGACACACGCGCTTATACTGATGAAGCTGAGAGTTGTATACGTACTAGAGTCCTAATAAGTAGTATATTATCATGGATCGATCAAGGAGGATGCTGTGCTGCGGCGGCGTGTCGATGTCCATGTCGTGCCCCGACGTGGTCACCATATGCGGCCTCTTCACCGTGCAGTGCATCTACGGCCTCTACATGATGTTCCTCAGCGCCCTGCTCGCCGCCGGCGTCCCTTCCCTCTTCATCATCGTCGTCGCATGCGCCGCTTCCTCCATCGTGGTCCTCCCCTTCGCCCTCGCCCTCGAGAGGTATGTACGTCGTATGTGGGTGGATGCGTGCGTCTCTCTATGGCAGTGGCACGCGAACGTTTGGTTCATCAGCTCCTAGTTCTTTTAAATAAAAAATAAAAATAATTTCTCGTCAGCCGGAGCTTTATTAAACGGGACTTTAAATTGTTGCTTGTTAATTAAGATTTAGCTGATTTAGTCCCTTCATGCATGGCCTTGACTACAGGAAGAAATGGCCCAAAGTGTGGAGCCCCATGTTGGTTGTTCAGCTCATCATCATTTCACTAGGAGGGTGAGAGATCAATTTCCTCTGAAGTATATTTTTTTTTTTTTAATACTTTTGTGCATGCCATGCTTGATTTCCCCAAAATAGCTTATACTGATTTGGCTTGGCCCTGTTTGTTTCGCTGAAATTTGGTTTATGCTAATACTTATGCTGATTTGTTGTGAGAGGAAAATACCGTTCGTTCGCTGAAAATCATAATTAAAAGAGATATATATCCAGAAGTTATCTTTAGTCCTTGAAAGAGAGAAACTCAAATGAACGCTTGCAGTACTACAGTAGTAATGGCATTTATCTGCTGTAAATATATGGCTTGGATGTTCGATTTGGTGCATCGATCTAGACTCAGCATCCACAATTCATGGCTTCTTCTTGGTACCTTGTACATTATTAATCCCTCGGTGTGTAACACTACTTGGGGGCTGATTCCAACATCTAGCAAACTGCTGCTAGGCACTTGATTAAACAAGTTTGAAGTTCCATCCCATATTGTGTAGGGTGTCAATATACCAAGTCATCATGATGCTCGGTGTCGCACGCACCTCGCCAGCGATCGCCTCCGCCATGCCTAATCTTTGCCCTGGCTTCATCTTCGTCATCGCAGCCTACCTGGGGTCAGTGTTGTATAGTCTGAAGTTTACTGAAACATGAACGTCAGTTCACAAAATTAAACATGGATACATGTGCAGTCCTAAGTCCTAACTGTTGATGTGTTATTAGGTTTGAGAGGTTCGACTGGAAGTGCAAGTACACCAGAGCGAAGATCTTGGGCACTCTGGTGTGCCTCAGCGGGGCAATGTGCGTCAGCTTCCTGAAGAACCCTACTCCCAGCGTATCCGTTCCCGGCGATGATGAAGAGCTCTCAGATGGCAAAGGCAGGCACGATTGGATACTTGGATGTTTCTGTCTTCTAACTGGGGTCATAATCTTCGCCTGCAACACTGTTCTGCAGGTAATTAAGCAATAGTCACTGTCAGGGGTCTGTAGAGTAAGCAATTCTTCTATGCGTCTGAATTATATTTCTAGCTGAATGTGGTGCTGCTGGTCTAGGCTGCAGCTCTGAAGAGATTCCCTGCACCATTGTCTATCTGTTCCATCACCGCCATGATGGGGTCGATCTTCAGTGCTATCGTCCAGGTCTTGATGGAGGGGAAGCTCACTGCAGGGACTGCTGACAACCTCAGCAGGAGCATTGGCGAAATTGTGCTTGTGGTACACATACACATCTATCTATATCTACTGAATTTAGACTTTCAGCACATGATATGCTACGTTCTTGTAACTTGAAGAACTGCAATGAAACACTGAAGAAAGTGAAACGACTGCTTCTGCTACTGTAGGGAGGCATGGTGATCGGCCTGTGCACGGCATTCCAGGTATCAAGCATTGGGCGCAAGGGGCCTGTACTCGTGTCCATGTTCAACCCATTTCAGACGGTCTTCTCGGCGTTCATCTCCTTCATTTTCTTCGGACAATGGATCGGCTTGGGATGGTAATGCACGCCAATTACAGGGATGCAATGCTGCTGCATGCTCTGAATTCTGAGCCGAGTCCAACTAACTAGCACACTTATTTACACCTAATGATGTTCGTATTGTTTCCTTGCTGCAGCTTTGTGGGGATTGTGCTCATGTTTGTTGGACTGTACGTGGTGCTGTGGGCGAAGAATAGGGAGGACAACATGTTTGCCGATCTGACAGCACCGTCTGAAACTGGATGTGATATAGAGAGTTCACTGCTGCAATGATAAGTCTGGCAAAATAGTCTGACCGCGCTACCCCGGTGCAATCGTTTAGTGTAATTAAATTGCATCTGGATGTACATCTGATTTTGTTTGTGCTTGGAATCAAATATGCTTGGAATATCTTCTTTTTTATTCTCTTTGCTGAACAGATCAAGGATCGTTGACAGTTTTGTCGGATTTGCTACAGTTCTTCCGTTTACTTGGTATGACTATCAAGTTGCTGTAAGGTCGAGATGGCGGACTAGAGGGGGGTGAATAGTCTTTTCTAAAACTTAATCGTGTCGGCTAACCGATACAAATGTGGAATTAAAACTATCGGTCTAGCCAAGACTATACCCCTCTGTATATGTTCACTAGCACCTTGCAAAGATAACAATTATGCAACAAAGGTGCCGGGCTAGCTAGAGCTCTCCTAATCAATTCTAGGAACAAGGTCACACAAACCTATGCCACTAGTACTTTAAGCTATGAGGGAGCTCCTACCTATGCTAGTAAGCAAAAGCACAAAGCAAACTAAGCTTACTAGCAATGCTCAATAACAAGGCAACCAATGCCTAATTAGAGAGCGCAAATACTTAGCTACACAAACTAAGCAATGTGACTAACAAGGTTACTAAAACTAAATTAGCCACGCAAGGGAGCTACTTCTATGCTACACAAGCAAGAAGGTAATTAGCAAGCTACACAAGCTATCTAATTATAAGAGCAACTACACAAGCTTAAGATATATAAAAGTAATTGCAAGCTTGTGTAATGGGGATGCAAACCAACGGGAAGAACAAGGTTGACACGATGATTTTTCTCCCGAGGTTCACGTGTTTGCCAACACGCTAGTCCCCGTTGTGTCGACCGCTCACTTGGTGGTTCGGCGGCTAATTAACATCAACCGCTAAGCCCGCACGTCGGGCACCACAAGAATCTACCCCTTGAGTGAGGGTAGCTCAATGACACGCTTTACTAAAGTTGCTCTTCGTGGCTCCCGCGGGGCGAGCACAATGCCCCTCACAAGCACTTCTCCGGAGCGCCGCACAAGCTTCTTGCGGGCTTCGACGGAGACCACCACCAAGCCGTCTAGGATGTGGCAACCTCCAAGAGTAACAAGCACCACCGGCTTGCAACTCGATCACCTAGTGCCACTCGATGCAACCTCACGATGCAATCGCACTATAATCGCTCACTCACACAATTGAATGATCACTATCAAGTATATGTGTGATGGAGGGCTCCCAAGCACTCACAAGCATGGACACTAAGTCCCCTCAGGTGCTCTACACCAGCCATGGCCGAGGGCCACTTCTATTTATAGCCCCAAGGGCTAAACTAGCCGTTACCCCTTCACTGGGCAAAAGTCGGGCTGACCGGACGCTCTGGTCGCCCGCAGACGGCCACGTGTCCTGATTCCAACGGTCACTTGACCTGACCGGACGCAGCAGCTTCAACTGACCGGACGCTGAAGCCCCAGCGTCCGGTCGTTTCCAGTAAGCTCCCCAAGGCGTATTTCTTCGACCGGACGCGTCCGGTCCACCTTGACCGGACACAGACCAGCGTCCGGTGCAATACCCTCGGTACAGAGCAGACCCGTCAGTTTGACCGACGCAGCCTTTCAGCGTCCGGCCGCTGCATGACCCAGCGTCCGGTCAGTAGACCGACGCTAGCATCTTCGCGATCAACTCGTTTTCACTTCTAACTTCTTCACCCTTGCTCCAATGTGTCAACCACAAGAATTTGCATCCGGCGCAATAGAAAATAGGCATTCCATTTTCCCAAAAGCGCTGAATCCCGCCGAGCTTGCTCCTTGATCTCAACCCTGCAAACACCACCTCCTTTTGTAAATGTGCCAACACCACCAAGTGTACACCACCATGTGTATGTGTGTTAGCTTTTCACAATCATTTCCCAAAGGATGTTAGCCACTCAACTTTCCATGCCACTCGATCCTAGCGACGATGCAAAGTTAGATCACTCGAGTGGCACTAGATGACCGATATGCAAACAAGTTTGCTCCTCTTAATAGTATGGCCATCTATCCTAAACCCGGTCATCAACTTCTCTACACACCTATGACCGGTGAAATGAAATGCCCTAGGTTATACCTTTGCCTTGCGCATTCCATTCCATCTCCTCTAATGTCGATGCAACACATGCACGAACACGATCAACAATGATATGATCCACTTCATATCATCACGTGATCATATTGGTTCATCGATCTTGACTTCACTTGTCCTTCACCGTTGCCATCGTCCATCGGCACCAAGTCTTGCTCAAGCTTCACCGCCACGCGGTCCATCACTCCAAAGCCTTCGACTTGCCCTTCACGCTTGCAACTGGTCCATCAAGCCAAGTCTTGTCTTGATCTTCTCCACCTTGATCACATGACTCAATGTCATGTCTCATGTGCGTTAAGCTCCTTCGTCATCACATGTGTGAGCTTTGCAACATCTCTAAGCCATTTTCATCTTCATGGCATATGTTGCTCACACACATATACCTATGGACTAATCACCTGTGTATCTCACATAAACACAATTAGTCCACCTAGGTTGTCACTCAATTACCAAAACCAAACAAGGACCTTTCAGTTGCCCTGGACAGTTTTGGGACGAAGTTAACACGCGCAACATATCATGTATTTGAGGAGCGCGTCCTCCCCCCCCCGACCCCCCGCCGCCCACCCCTCGCTTCCACCACCCACAGCTGGTGGCTCCCTCTGCCTCCCGTGCCTTTCCCCGTCCTCCCCTAATTAGTAGCATCGTGACTCCTTAGTCACCCCCATTCCGACCACCATCTCCCGCTGCCCGCTGCTGTCTTGCCCATCACCACCATCGTGTCACGATGTCCCCAAAGCCTCTTCTATAGTTGCCAGTGAGTGGATTCTCTAACCCGAAACCCCAACCCTTTCCTCTCCACCCCCCGCCCCGTGAAGCGTCGCCGGATGGGGAGTCACCCCTGTTCGACCACCATCTCCCCATTGCCCCTTGACTATTGTCTCGCCCATCACCACCGTCAAGTCACGACGTCCCCAAAGCCTCTTCTATAGTTGCCAGTGAGTGGATTCTCTAACCCCAAAATCCCAACCCTTTCTTCTTCCCCATGAGCATCCATGGGGATGGGTCATGTGCTTTGTCGAATTTTATTTCATATTTTTTACCCACTTTGTTTCTACTGCCACCATGTGCCCGCCAAATACTGGAGCACGTCATGTGTACAGCGCATTTGGTAAAACCAGATGACCCAAACAGGATGACCCTATCTTAGTATATTTCAGCATCAAACAGGAGCACTCGGCCGGGAGCCAGGGACTGTCGACAGAATATGCTCGGCAGTCCACCTAGGGGTATCCCGCGATGGTAGATTTATCGGTGGGGATGCGCGTAATCAGGAACTAGATGGTGACACAAAGCGCGAGAGCAATGATTTAGACAGAGTTCGGTCGTCGATCGACGTAATACCCTACGTCCCCGTGTCTTTGGTGTATTGTATTGAATACATGATGTCGAGTAGAGGACCCTGCGCTCTCCTTATATACTACGGAGGGGCAGGGTTACAAGTAAAGTATCATATTTGGTACTATACAATGTCTTGCTATGTGCACGCCGCGAAAGCGGCGCTGCACGCTTTTTGATCTTGTGGGCCGAGCCACCTCCGATGGTGCGGCCCATGTCTTGGGGCCATACCCCCCACAGTTAGTCCTCGAGCTCGACAAGATGGGTGATGCGATCCACGTGGTGCCGAGCTCATAAAGTAGAAGACCAAACGAAGCAGGCTAGTCCCCAGGCGTAGCCTCGAGATGAGAACAAGCACATTCACGCAAGGTGAAGTGTGCCCACTTAGTCCCCGAGCCTCTTTGGAAGATGAAGAATGAATCTTGTAGCGAGGTCAAAGAAGTCTGAAAACTTGCCGACGTGCGTCGACATGCGCATATCAAGATTCCCAGACGTCTTGCCCAAGATCAAGACCACGATCCGAACAGTGTGGAGCAGCTGATAGCAGCACACCGACGAGACATAGCAAGATCGAAAGCAATAAGGGAGTCCCCGGCGTCGCTGGCGATGTCCGAGCACCGAGGAGCGAGGAGTCTCCGGCGTCGCTGGCGATGTCCGAGCACCGAGGAGCGAGGAGTTCCCGGCGTCACTAGCGATGTCCGAGCACCGAGGAGCGAGGAGTCCCCGGAGTCGCTGGCGATGACCGAGCATCGAGGAGCGAGGAGTACCCGGCGTAGGCGGCGAGGTCCGAGCATCGAGGAGTCCCCGGCGTAGGGCGGCGAGGTCCGAGCACCGAGGAGTCCCCGGCGTAGGCGGCGAGGTCCGAGCACCGAGGAGTCCTCGGCGTAGGCGGCGAGGTCCGAGCACCGAGGAGTCCTCGGCGTAGGCGGCGAGATCCGAGCACCGAGGAGTCCCCGGCGTAGGCGGTGAGGTCCGAGCACCGAGGAGTCCTCGGCGTAGGCGGAGAGGTCCGAGCACCGAGGAGTCCCCGGCGTAGGCGGCGAGGTCCGAGCACCGAGGAGTCCTCGCCGTAGGCAGCGAGGTCCGAGCACCGAGGAGTCCTCGGTGTAGGCGGCGAGGTCCGAGCACCGAGGAGTCCTCGGCATAGGCAGCGAGGTCCGAGCACCGAGGAGTCCCCGGCGTAGGCGGCTGATGTCCGAGCACCGAGGAGTCCTCGGCGTAGGCAGCGAGGTCCGAGCACCGAGGAGTCCTTGGCGTAGGCAGAGAGGTCCGAGCACCGAGGTAGCTGACGACGTCCGTGCGGTGAAGTGTGCCCACTTAGTCCTCGAGCACGAAGAATCCGAGGGCCGAGGAGTAACCGACATAACTGGCGATGAAGCACGAGCGACGAACATTCTGGTCGACTGGTCGGCAGCGAAGTGAACATTGAGTAGAAGCGACCGGCGAGCAGTCCGATCAATTGGTCGGCGACGGAGTCCATGAACCAAGCGGTCTGACCAGTTGATCGGTGGAGAAGCCCGAGCACCAGGTGGTCCGATCACCAAGACGACGATCCTG